AGGTCAATTTAAGTAGTAAAATTCAATAAGTGAAAGCAGTAATAATATATAAAATTCTAGGGCTAGAAAAATACATTTATATACACTACTCCGCTCAAACAAAAATTGTATGATTCACTGGTCAGCCATAAAGAAAAAAAATCACAGAGACATGCTTATAGAGATAGGAGTAGAAAGTATTTTACCCTACTGTTTTCCTTCACTCCACAATTTTTTACTGAGTGTATTGTTTTCTTTGTGAAGATACCACAGTGAACAAGGAAGATCAAGCTCCTCCTCACAGAGTTTACATTCTAGAGGAGGGACAAATAATAAAGAAAAAAAGAAACAAAATTATTTACAGTTATTAAAAGTGCCATGTAGATGGTAAACCAGAATGGTATGACAGACTACAGAATATATGCAGGCAGGAAGGAGGTTCCTTAAGTTGGTTTGCAGTAGGCTTGGCTAAATGTACAAAATAATACAAAATAACAGTGGTTTAAATGAAAATGTATTTCTCTCTCATTTAAAAGAATCCTGCAAGTAGACAGCCCAGAACTGCTGTAGAATCTCACAAATTCATAAGACTCAGCCTTTCAAGATCTGCTCTACTATGCTTTGTAAATGCCTCCCCGCAAGACCAATTCACCACATTAGATGTTACAGGAAAGAAGATGTAGAGGAGGAGAAGAAGGATGCATCTCTTTCCTTTCCAGAATTTTTTCATCTACATTTGACTGACCAGAACTTAGTCACAAGGCAACACTCAGTTTCACGGGAGGATGAACAAAATAGTTGTTCAGTTATGTGACCATATACATAACCAAAAAAAAAAAAAAAAAAAAGAAGAAGGAGGACACTAGAAAGCAACCAACATTTGTGCTGAAGTAGATTCAGGGAAGGCTTCTCTGAGGGTTTAACACATGACCTGAAGCTTCAGTGATAAGGAGACAGCCATAAAAAGACCTGGATGTGGAAGATTTTAATAAAAGTAAAGAACAAGTATAAAATCCCAGAATTGGGCAAAATATCTCTTTATATGTTTAGAAACTAAAGAAAGACAAAATCCAGGCTGGGAATTTAGCTCAGAGGTGCTGTGCTGGCCTTGCAAAGGGCGAAGTCATGAATTTAATCCCCAGTATCCCCGCATACCCCCACTCACAAAGACATAAGCCAGTCATAGTGGCCCCTATCTGTAATATCAGCACTCTGGGAAGCTGAGGCAGGAAGATTTAAAGTTTAAACCCAGCCTGGACAACTTAGCAAGACCCTGTCTTAAAACAAAAAATAAAAAAGGGCCAGGGATGTAGCTCAGTGCAAAGGCTGTGCTGTGTTCAATCCCCAGTACCACCAGAAAAGAGAGGAGAGACAGAAGGAGGAAAAGAGGAAAGGAGGGTGGGAAGGAAAATAAAAAAAGAAAACCAAGACAGGACACTTGCACAAACTGAGTGAGAAAAGGAATGCTACTGCCTGAAGTTAGGAGATTGATTTATGTCTTATAATTAGTCAAAGTAATCAGTAAAGAGTACTTCCAGTCCCCTTAAAAGAGCTACCCATACTGGAATAAGAACGAATAAGGGCACCTTAGCCTTACACCATCAAACATCTGATTTATCTTACTCCTTTTCTGAATGCAGGCCCATACCACAATTTTCTGATTTCACATGTGCCATCAAACTGTTTTTTTAGTTCCACCCTTTCGCTTTGTCTTCCTTAGCAGGTTTTTCCAATTGTTGCATGGGAGTACTTGGGCTTTAACAGGATCCACAGACAAATTTTATGAACAATTCAAGGTAGTTAAATCTTAAATTCTCTCAAAATAAACACATTAGTCAAATAATACAAGATTTCATTCTTGACTTACAAGAAAAATATTTAGAAATGGCTCTCCTTAACCTTTGTAATAAAATAAGCACCTCAACAGGTTTTTTTCTGCTTTCTTTAGATATGTATGGGACTTGTGAGGAGTACTCACAACTGTGCAGTGAAGAAAAGGAACAGCTGGAAAGGTTGCCTCTTCCTCTAGCCCCGGCTCTCTGTAAACTTTGACAATCTGAGTCACTTATATTTCAGAAAGTTTGGCTGTTTAGAGATGGGTCTGGATTCTCAAAATATCAAAAGGTTTGTTAATAAAATAATAACCTATAAGGCCAGTAGTGGCTCAGAGGGCTTTCATTCTCTCTGAATCACTCATCACACACTCAGACACAAACACACACATTGTGTACACACATATTTGTATACATATACAAAAGCTAAACCAGGGCAAGTAATTTGTATATGACACAATTTTAATACATATGTAGCATCAGGCAGGTCATTATAAAGACCAAGTTCAAGTCAAGAAATAACCAAGCAAATAATAGAGGGGTTTTTTAAGCAAAGAGAAAGCACTCATGCAGAGACTTGTGGAACAAAAGACAATCTAATGCAATAAAAGTTGAATGAAATAAATCAGACATACAAGTTTAAATGCCATATGATATCTCTCATTTGAGCAAGCCAAAGTGCAAAGAGCACAATAAAGGAGGCAAGGGGATAGATTTTTGCAAATAGGAAATCATTTAAGAGCATGTGGGTGAGAGGTGGGGCAAATAAATATAATAAAGATATGCCATGTACCTAATAATCTAAATATATGTCAGAAACATAAGATTAATAATATCGACAAGAATGAAAATGGGAAAAAGGGATTCAGAGGAAGAGAGGAGGCAAGAAGGAGAAGGAGATTTTTAAAAAGAGTTAAGCTCTATTAGGTACATGTATCCACTCCCCGAGATGATTATAAACAGTATGTACTATAAGAATACACTAATTAAAAAAAGGTTAAACGTGGATTAAGTAAATAAATGATAATTATTCGTGCTATTACTGAGCAGTCCTTACTACATGGTAAACGTACTAAGCCCTTTACTTATCCTTATTTCATTTAAGAACAACCTTAGGAGATACACACCATTATTGAAATAGCAAATTCCCCATGTAATTGATATGGCTCACATTTGCTAGTCCGAGAGCATGGAAGCACACCAGAAGGAGTGGAGACAAAGTGAAAGTTTAATTAACGCCAGTGGACCAGTCTGCATTCGCACGCAGGGGACTGGCCTTGAAAAACACTTGAACAAAGAAGATATACATTCTAAGGGGGAGTGGGGCATTGCAAGTGAGGCATGTTTGGTATACATTCATTGGTTACAGAATTTGAATATGTATTAGCGAGCGGGCTGAATCATGGTATTGGCTCACACATAATATTGGCAATGTGTTCATTGGGTGATTTAAAACATGAGGTTCTATCTCATTTACATCCTAATAAAATAACAAAACTCTTCTAGAGACAAAGACATTCCCGAGATGAGGAAGTTGGCTCGGGCATATTTGGGCGGGTGAGGTGGGACAGACCCAGACATGCTAAACAAAGAAAATTTCAAGTAAGGAATTTCCCATAGTAAGTTTAGCTTGAATTACAGAAGGAAAATTTCCTTGCAAAGTTCTCTTTCATTATTAACTTGGTTTATAGTTAAAGAAACTGGATGGTAAAGACATTGACTTTCTTGCCAATGTCTGAGAAGTAAGTAAGTGATTAGTAAGGACTCAAATCAAATCTGCCTAAACTCTAAACCTTGTGCTCTAACAGCTTTTGTGTGTGTGTGTGTGTGTGTGTGTGTGTGTGTGTGAAAAATAAAACAAATTTCACAGATTTTTGTATTATGTGATACTTATATGTCACAGTGGTAGAAAGGAACACAGAAGAAAATGTAAATAAATGTTAGCTATATTAAAAGTGTATAATCTTTCTACTGCTTTGTAATCCTGTCACACTTCACCTGGAGCATCACTGAAATTAGGAAACAAATTTAAAGACATAGATGCTGGCTTTCCCTTGCTTTAAGATTGCTGCCACATAGAATAGCAGCCTCCATGTTAAAATATGGCTTCTCCCAACAAAGGACAGGCTTCTCATCATGCCTCTTCTCCCACCAAAAGAGTAACCTACTACTTGCTACCTCCTAACAGCAGGTGATGTCACAGGTTCCTCCAATCTCTTAATACTACCTCACTCAACTCCACCCGAGTTTAGGCAAAGCCTACCCCACTCCTATAAAACAAGCTCACTGTACTGCCATATTGCTTTTCTCTCCTTTGTTCAGAGACAGCCTAGCAGATCCTCCTCATAATGAAGGCTTGTTGTAGTCTTGGTCTGGTCCTGGTTTATTGGCTCTTTTACCTAACAATAGACTTTTAGGATTAGGAGGTACTGGCTCCTACTACTTCTAGCTATGTGACCTTGGCTGTCCCATAAGACCCTCGATTTTCCCATCTGAAAGTGGGAAAAATATCTACTTTCCAAAATAGGTATGAAGATGAGATAGGATAAAAAAGTAAAAAAAAAACAAAAACAAAAACAAACAAAAAATAAAAAAAAACAGTGTCTGAATTATAACTATAGAAGGCAATATATCACTTATTATTCCAAGGATAGAATGATTAGGATACTGGTCATGTTTGTGAACATTAGCATGAGATATGAGTTTATACTTTCTAAAAGAGTGCTTTCATTATTATTTTGCATTGTGCTCTAAATTATAATTTTTAATAAGCTTAAAGTTGGGTTTTTCTGAGACCAAAAAACCCCACACAAAAATAGATCTTAGTAATCTAATAATTTCACACTGAACAAAGAGGAATTCTCTTCAGTTTGTTGTCAAAATTATCTCTGAAAAAGATGGCCAGAAAAGTCTCAGGGGTTTATGATGTCCTGCCAAATCCAAACATCCATATCTATTCAAGTCTAACTCATAAAAACGCACTTTCTGTCTTCACTGACAGCATTTATCTGGATTACAAAGCATCAAAGCACCATTTGTGCCCAAGATATTTTCTGAAATGATACTGATGTGTTTAGTGATCTACATTTGAGAGGTTACATTTCTGAAGTGATAAACTCCAGCAAACCTCACTAGTGAAGTCCATTTCAGGACGTAAATTTGCTTTCAAAAACAGATTTCATTACTCACATTTGCAGAGGCATTTATAGTCTAAGTAGACATACAGAAGGACGGCAGGTGGAGGCCTTCATCTAGATGTAGAAAACTAGGAAGAAGGAATTAGAAATATGGCACAGGAAAATTGACATAGCTCATTCCTACTTCTTAAATGAAATGAATTATGACAGCAGGAAAAAAACACTACAAAATAAAAGCAAATCTCCCTCCTCTTCTTTGTTTTCAATCTATTGCCAGGTACAGTAGCCTAATGACTTAAATAAATGTAAATGAAGAATGAGATAGAAATAAGGTCCATAAAGAAACCAAATGCTTCCTCAGTTTTTTCACAGAAATATCCTAGCCTCAGATTCTGGCTGACAAAAGTCTCAGGTAACACCACTCCTTCCATGACTGAGGCTCATATCATATTCATCAAAGCTAAAATATGGACTGTTGATTACCAAAGTACTTCCAAATAACTGAGACTAGTACCACAGTGGTAGTACTGCAGATAGTTAAGTTAGTCAAAAATTATTATAAGGCAGTTAGACAAAGCTGGGCCCTCACATAGAAAAATAATTGAGGCACAACCAAATATTTCCCCTAGGGATGAATAGCAGAGATGGATATTCTAAGTAAGCACCAATCACCTGGGTGAGGGACCACAGCATTAACCTATCCCTCCAGGAAAGACCTCTGACCCATCCCTTTACTGAAAATCCAAAAATCTTTGTTCATTCCTTGTACACTTGCTACATGACTTGCTTCTCCATTGGATCCTCATTCAATTAATATTACTTAAGCCGCTATACTTGTTGAAATCTTACTGGCTGATCAAGGTTTTGTCCCACCAAAATGTCCACCTTGTGACTTCCTGTTGGACCAATATTACCTAATTGACTGTACTTGTAATCTTACTGGTGGACTATAATTTTATCCCAATTTGAAACAGGATCCCTGGGCAACCCACTTTCTGGTCACCCTTCTGTCTAAGACAGACAGAAGCTATTATTTCCCAATAAATTCCTCCAACTCTTAACCTGTTATTTCTAGAATCCACTCTAGTTTTAGAGAATATGAACTCGAGTTTTGGATATCAAGCAGGTTTGGAAGATACATCTCTTCCCCCTATATGTCTAGGGGAACACATTAAATAACTGAGTCACATAGGGAGAAAGTTATTCCATTTTCAATTCTTTTTCTGGATTTCTGGTTTGTTAAGAAGCATGTCTCGGTGTCATGCTAATATGTCATTAGCACTTCTCAAACACTTGCTAAACTTTCTTTTTATAAGGACTCAACCCCAGAGCCAAGGAACAGGCAACACTATGTAGATAGACTTTAATAACACCATTTTATTTATACTGTCTTTATTTTTAGGTACTGTCTACTTATGGTGAGTGAACTATTTTTCCATTTATAGAAGTAAAATAAAGTTTACTGTTTAAATTCATTTATTTGAACTATTAAAGTTAAAAAGATGAATAAAGTATAAAATGGTATGAAAATAAGGAAAAATATAAGGTAGATCATGAGTGATTATAATTAGAATATACTAATTATTACACAATCTGAAAACAAAAATTTAAAAAACACCACTCTATTTCCCCACAATAGAACTAATCTCTTCCTCCCCTGTAGTCCAACAGCTGCCCTGTATCTCTAATACGCATGAATTTATCTTCTCTGAACTATAGTTAACCAAATACATTTCTCATTTTCCCTAGGGTGTAATCTCCTGGACGTCAGAGACCTTTTGTCTTGTTTTGAGGCTGTCTTTTGTTATAAAAAATGTATTCTCTGCAAATATTTCTTGAATTGAAAACCTGATTCACCCTAATCCTATCTGTATAATACTAGTACTGCAACCACTTTAAAGATACTCATCCATAGTGTAAGATTTCTCTAAGGCACAAATCTTCACTACTCACTGTTTAAAGATCAGTCAATAGAAAAATCAAGCTACACTTCCTTGTATTCTATTATGTTCAAGCCCTTTAGGGTATGCAGAAGAAAACAAGACACATAACTCGTTTTGTAAGAGTTAAAATATGAAATTGCAGAAAATTTAGACAATATAAAAAAGTCAAATAGGGGAAAATTTGAAAAACCATAATTAAGACATTTGAAAGAGAATTATCTAGTATTTTAGAGGGTTTTCTTCCAGTCTCTTGTTTGTTTTCATCATTGAGGGTGCATTTGTATATTAAATAGTTGATGTTCCTGATTTTCATCTTCTCATTCATCCTTATATTCATTCTTGTACTATTGTTCTTTTTTTGGCCTGGGTTTCTATGTACCTGCTACATGAATGGCTAGTTATGGAGAAACATCTAGAAATGCAGAACTATGGCCATCAATGTCCCCTTAGAGACTTTTGCCATGCAGAAGCAGTTCATAATTTAAAAGGAAACATAAAAAGTTTCAAAACAGATACATCAGAATGTTCTTTTAGGTAGAGAACATCAAATAGTAGCTATTTCCAATTCAGGATCAGTCACAGAACCACAGAACCACAGACTTTGTGGGCTGGTAAAGGCTTTAGAAATGACTTTAAATACCAGCGATCAAAGAGAGGTGAGGGGCTGGGGATTTAGCTCAGTAGTTCCACCACATGCTTCACAAGCACAAGGTCCTGAGTTCAATACCCGGTACAAAAAAAAAAAAGAAAAGAAAAGAAAAAATCAAGTGGGTAACTTAACAAAGAACACACATTAGGGTCTCTCATTTACTACCAGTAGGAGATAAAATATTTCAAATTATGATATAAGTCAATGGATAACACAGGTGAATGTTTAGACGATGTAAGATAGGGACTGAGGAACACTTGAATAGCTCAGTGAATTGCCAGAGAAGTTTTTTAGTTGTTATTGTTTTTTTCCTACTCCAATGTTTATTCAGATAAATAGTAACATTTTATGTAGAGTAAACATAAATTAAGTGAAAAATATTAATTTACATGACATACAGCAGGCATTCATTTAAGGTAACTTGAATCTGAATATAAGGTATATTCCTCCTATAAAGCTCAATGATTTTCTTCTCTAATCAGCCTCTCCAACTCCAGTTGAACTCCCATATTTATTTCTTCCAAAAAGGAAGTGTTCTTCCATTTGCGTATACTCCTCCTCTATGTTTGGGAGAAATAAATATTACCATCAAGATCTTTTGAAAATCTACCTATTCTTTGAAGCCAGTAACAAAAACCTCAGCTAAATGTAGTCACTGTGTCTTCTGAGTATTCAGATCTCTTTTAACATTTTAGCTGTCTTATGAGCTTTTTACATATTCAGAAAATATCATCCTAGCAATGTTACATGTTTCTTGAAGGCTGCAGCTCTGCATTGTTTCTCTTTAAATGCCTCATTCATTGATTCATTCATCATTCAGTGGAAGTTCTCTTTGATGAGGACTCAGTTACACTAAGTTCTAAAGGATGAGAAGTCTTGGTCAGGCAAAGACAGGGAGGGAAGAAATTTCATGCTGAAAGAACAGCTTGCGTTGAAGGTCTTAATGACAGAAATAACTTGGCAAATTAAAGGAATTAATATGAGGGTAAAGTGGGTAGACAGGGCTAACACAGAAGCAAGGTCAGGTGAAAGAGAAGAGGAAGTAGTTCCCCCTCTTGAGCTTATTCTAGGCAAGTGCGACATTTCTTTTAAAGGAACCAGTAATAATATTGAATGAAATCTATTAAAAATCATAATGAAAAAGCTTGAGAGGTAGCAGCATGAAAACTGCCAGGGCAACATAAAGAGAAAAGAGTCAAACCATAGAGGATTTCTGTTTGTTTGTTTGTTTGTTTTTAGGTACCAGGGATTGAACTAGAGTCCTTGCGTTTGTGAGGCAGGTAGTGGAACCACCGGCCCTAACAGTGGTGTTTTGAGTGTTGCTTTTCTACCAACCAATACCCAGGCCCTCTACCTCCTCTCTGGCCATCCTCTATAGCTCAGCAGATGTTGAAATCCTTCTAGGCTGATTCAGATCATGCAAGTTACTTCCAGGCCAGGGTAAAAAGTTAAGATTTCATGCAAAGAAATTTATTATCTGCTTTGCATTCCATCAGATTACTCTCAACATGTGGACCATGGTCTAGAAGACAAAGTTGCTAGGAGAAAATGGTGAACTCCAACCAGTTTTCTTCTGAGCATTATTAGGCTGGCAGTTTCCATAAAGGCTTAAGCTCAAAAACCTAATATGATACTGGAGCTGAGTATAAACTCAGAGGCAACAGAATATCACAGAAATCTTAGCATGTACTACTCTAGTCCTACCTCAGCCATACTCCAAATGTGGATTTTATAATACTGTAGAAAGCTAGAACACACACATGAAGAAGTCATATTTTCTTCTCCACACTTAAGCCAGTAGAATTCTTTCTTCCACAGGTTTACTCCTATCTAACCCTTCAACTATTAAAATATGAATTGTCTCCAAGCCATCTGAGGTTGTAACTTCCCTGTGATTTAACTCAGCACAAATACAAACATTTTCTGGGAAAGTCTGAGGAAAGCTCATAAAATATTTGCATGTTTTATTTAATTTTTCAAGTGGAAAAACAATAGACAATTTCCTGCCTAAAAAAGAAAAAAAAAATCTGTTGACTCTTACATTCAAATAACTCAAACCAGCTGACCTTTAAAATGTCAGGCTTCACATGTGGTCAAGCCTTGGACAGACTCTAAGCTAAGTTTAGAAAAAAATTAAATAATGAACTGGTAAGGAAAATAAAGTAAAATACTTGGTTGATGATTCACTTGAGTAACCACTAGTGACCCAAAACTGCCACTTGTTATGGATAGATGCCTTCTAAGATTTTAACTTGAGAGAGTTCAGAAACAACCCAATTATGGTAGATGTCTTTCCAAATTACCAGGGGCTAGAAGCAAGAGAAGTATCTGACACATTCAAGATTAACATCCTAAGGCTTTGAAAAATACTGGGAAAAAAATCTATCATACATATGACTCACTTATTTGTGGCTTGAAAGATGAATTTTTCAGGTTAAGGACTAAAATGTTTATAGGATTAAAAAATATAGATGTCTCTTTCCCTGTACACACCTCCCATGAAATTAAATAAAAACAATATTAACTTGTAA